ATACACTAAAAGAACGAATGCAAGGAAATGTGTGAAATAAATTTGTGTAAATCACTTTAATAGACTTTATAAACATTGTACATTATATATAATTTTATTTATTTTGCTTATTATTCATGTTCGAAAATGGAGTTTCTAATTATTATTGGAAGTATTAGAAATACAAAGTGATTTGACATCTTAATGTCTCCAGTATTTATTAAGGAATCATCAAGAAAATATTTGTTTTTTTAATTCAATTTTATTTATTTTATTTATTTTTTTTTGCAGCAATGTAAGTGAATTTCATTATGTTTGGTGAAAGGAGAAAAACATACTAGTATAAACTTTTTAAAAAATTTGTTCCAATGGAATGCATTTCAACTCATTGTATACAAATGGAGCACAGTTTTTCATTTCTCTGGTTGTACATGAGGCAGAATCACACCATTCGTGCAATCATACAGGTACAAAGGGGAATAATGTCCATCTGTAGTACATACTTTTAAATTTTTTTTTATATATTTTTAATTTTTTATTGTGGGTTGTTCAAAACATTACAAATTTCTTGACATATCATATTCCACACTTTGATTCAAGTGGGTTATGAACTCCCACCTTCACCCCATACACAGATTGCAGAATCACATCAGTTACACATCCATTGATTTACATATTGCCATACTAGTGTCTGTTGTATTCTGCTGCCTTTCCTATCCTCTACTATCCCCCCTCCCCTCCCCTCCCCTCCCCTCCCCTATTCTCTCTCTGCTCCCTCTACTGACATTCGTTTGTCCCCCTTATATTATTTTTCCCCTTCCCCTCACTTCCTCTTGTATGTACTTTTGTATAACTCTGAGGGTCTCCTTCCATTTCCATGCATTTTCCCTTCTCTCTCCCTTTCCCTCCCACCTCTCATCCCTGTTTAATGTTAATCTTCTTCTCATGCTCTTCGACCCTACTCTGTTCTTAGTTACTCTCCTTATATCAAAGAAGACATTTGGCATTTGTTTTTTAGGGATTGGCTAGCTTCACTTAGCATAATCTGCTCTAATGCCATCCATTTCCCTGTAAATTCTATGATTTTGTCATTTTTTAATGCAGAGTAATACTCCATTGTGTATAAATGCCACATTTTTTTATCCATTCATCCATTGAAGGGCATCTAGGTTGGTTCCACAGTCTAGCTATTGTGAATTGTGCTGCTATGAACATCGATGTAGCAGTGTCCCTGTAGCATGCTCTTTTTAGGTCTTTAGGGAATAGACCGAGAAGGGGAATAGCTGGGTCAAATGGTGGCTCCATTCCCAGCTTTCCAAGAAATCTCCATACTGCTTTCCAAATTGGCTGCACCAATTTGCAGTCCCACCAGCAATGTACAAGTGTACCCTTTTCCCCACATCCTCGCCAGCACTTGTTGTTGTTTGATTTCATAATGGCTGCCAATCTAACTGGAGTGAGATGGTATCTTAGCGTGGTTTTGATTTGCATTTCTCTGACTGCTAGAGATGGTGAGCATTTTTTCATGTACTTGTTGATTGATTGTATGTCCTCCTCTGAGAAGTGTCTGTTCAGGTCCTTGGCCCATTTGTTGATTGGGTTGTTTGTTATCTTATTGTCTAATTTTTTGAGTTCTTTGTATACTCTGGATATTAGGGCTCTATCTGAAGTGTGAGGAGTAAAGATTTGTTCCCAGGGTGTAGGCTCCCTATTTACCTCTCTTATTGTTTCTCTTGCTGAGAAAAAACTTTTTAGTTTGAGTAAGTCCCATTTGTTGATTCTAGTTATTAACTTTTGTGCTATGGGTGTCCTATTGAGGAATTTGGAGCCCGACCCCACCGACTGTAGATCGTAGCCAACTTTTTCTTCTATCAGACGGCGCATCTCTGATTTGATATCAAGCTCCTTGATCCATTTTGAATTAACTTTTGTGCATGGTGAGAGAAGGGGATTCAGTTTCATTTTGTTGCATATGGATTTCCAGTTTTCCCAGCACCATTTGTTGAAGATGCTATCCTTCCTCCATTGCATGCTTTTAGCCCCTTTATCAAATATAAGATAGTTGTAGTTTTGTGGATTGGTTTCTGTGTCCTCTATTCTGTACCATTGGTCCACCCGCCTGTTTTGGTACCAGTACCATGCTGTTTTTGTTACTATTGCTCTGTAGTATAGTTTGAAGTCTGGTATCGCTATACCGCCTGATTCACACTTCCTGCTTAGCATTGTTTTTGCTATTCTGGGTCTTTTATTTTTCCACATGAATTTCATGATTGCTTTCTCTATTTCTACAAGAAATGCCGTTGGGATTTTGATTGGCATTGCATTAAACCTATAGAGAACTTTTGGTAATATCGCCATTTTGATGATGTTAGTTCTGCCTATCCATGAACAGGGTATATTTTTCCATCTTCTAAGATCTTCTTCTATTTCTCTCTTTAGGGTTCTGTAGTTTTCATTGTATAAGTCTTTCACCTCTTTTGTTAGGTTGATTCCCAAGTATTTTATTTTTTTTGAAGATATTTTGAATGGAGTGGTTGTCCTCACTTCCATTTCAGAGGATTTGTTGCTGATATACAGGAATGCCTTTTATGCGTGTTGATTTTATATCCTGCCACTTTGCTGAATTCATTTATTAGCTCTAATAGTTTCTTTGTAGAGCCTTTTGGGTCTGCTAGGTATAGAATCATATCATCTGCAAATAGTGATAATTTAAGTTCTTCTTTTCCTATTTTTATGCCTTTAATTTCTTTCCTCTGTCTAATTGCTCTGGCCAGTGTTTCGAGAACTGCTTAAGGGAACCATACACCAACAAGACATAACAATCATAAATATTTATGCCCCAAACAATGGTGCAGCTATGTTCGTCAAACAAACTCTTCTCAAGTTCAAGAGTCTAATAGACCACCATACCATTATCATGGGAGACTTCAACACACCTCTCTCGCCACTGGACAGGTCTTCCAAACAAAAGTTGAATAAGGAAACTATAGAACTCAATAACACTATTAATAACCTAGACCTAATTGACATATATAGAATATACCACCCAACATCAAGCAGTTACACTTTTTTCTCAGCAGCACATGGATCCTTCTCAAAAATAGATCATATATTATGTCACAGGGAAACTCTTAGACAATATAAAGGAGTAGAGATAATACCATGCATCTTATCTGATCATAATGGAATGAAACTGAAAATCAACGATACAAGAAGGAAGGAAAAAGAATACATCACTTGGAGAATGAACAATAGGTTACTGAATGATCAATGGGTTATAGAAGACATCAAGGAGGAAATTAAAAAATTCTTAGAGATAAATGAAAACACAGACACAACATATCGGAATCTATGGGACACACTGAAAGCAGTTCTAAGAGGAAAATTCATTGCTTGGAGTTCATTCCTTAAAAAAAGAAAAAAACCAACAAATAAATGATCTCATACTTCATCTCAAAATCCTTGAAAAAGAAGAGCAAAACAACAGCAAAAGAAGTAGAAGGCAAGAAATAATTAAAATCAGAGCTGAAATTAATGAAATCGAAACAAAAGAAACAATTGAAAAAATTGACAAAACTAAAAGTTGGTTCTTTGAAAAAATAAACAAAATTGACAGACCCTTAATTCAATTTTAGACGCTTAAACATTTTTTTTCTTTCTTTCTTTCTTTTTTTTATGCCCACCATGATAAATATCAGATAGTTTCCACAGCTTCTGGGAATTTTCAAATATTAAGAGAAACAATCTATTTTCCATTTAATAGAAGACCTTAACTTCACACCCAGGGTGAGTTCTATGTCTTTCAAATGTTTCTGGTTCTCTGAGTCTGGATTGGGGTGGGAAGAAGAGAGATAAGGGGCATGATAAGTATGCTGGAGCAATCATAACTTCATAGCCAGTGTCCTCCGTGATGACAGGCAGCCGGGTCCTGACCCTCTAACCTAGGGTACATGCATGCATGGGGTAGTCAGAGACACAACTCAAAAACTTGAGGTTTCTGTTGTTCCTTCAGCTGTGTGGCATGTTCTTTGGATGACTGGTTTAAGCTTCCTCCAAGCATCTACCATCTGTGCAACCTTTCTACAGAAGCAATCATTTAATCTGCAGGAAACTTACGCAGCTTTGCCTGGTTGAAGACTGGGACTTGCATTGTCCCCAGCTATCATTGTCGCCTTCCCTGCCAACTCAAGCAGTCAGCCTTCCTTAGAGCTCTCTGGGTTCAAAAGGCAGCAAAACATTCTAAGTTTCAAAGTACTACCTTGTGATTGAGATGTCAGTAGCTCCTTTTCCAGAATATCACAGTTCTCATTGGTGGATTGAAAGATAGATACAGACATATCTGAATATATAAAAGGTCACAGAGTTCTTTTCTCCATTTATCTCATTAGCGTCCTTGCCTTTCAACTCTTTGATATCGAATACCATTTCACAGCAGATAGGAGAACCTGAAGCTACTTTGTGGGTTTTCATTAGCCTCATGCACTTATTACCAAACTGTACTCCACAGTATGAAACAGAGTTTTAACCAGCGGCACACTTTTTCATGGTACTCACACTTCATTGAAACTTGTTCACATGAAGCTTGCTACAGTGATTAACAAAGAACTTGTTTTGACAGAATAGGAAAACTCCATCAACTTTACCCCCACCAGGTATTTTATTAATGAATTCAAAGGAGCTGAAATGTCAAATTCCTAAATTCTTAGGCAGATTTTGAAAAACAATTGCTGTACTCGATAACTATCTTGAAAAATACTCATGTATTAAGTAATTCTATATCACTATTCCACATTAATATGCAGTGAAAATCAATAGAATTTCTATACATGACTAAATAAAATAGATTGGGATTCATTACTATATTCAGTCAAGAAATATGTATTGCTTATTTACTATGTGCCAAAGACCTTTTTAGACAAAAGAAAGGAACAAGACTGATTCCTTTCCACATACAGTTTACTTTTTAATAAGGAGAGAGATAATTAATCATATATTATATTATACTTATTATACTATACTATGTTATATTATATGTGATTTGATTTTTAAAAAGCTAAAGCAAGTGTCACAAGGTTGAACAGTGTTCAATAAATCTTTCTGAGGAAGTCACATCTGATCACTGAATGTAGTGTGAGAATGAAAAATACAAGTGTTTGGGAGAAGATTGTTTCAAGCACAGAACAAGAGATTGAAAGAGTAAATTACGAGTTGGGAAGAGAAAAGAGAACAGACCTCATAAGCAGATAAAAGAAGATAATATGTGATACATAGGTCAGGTCAAAAGTTGATTTATACTTTGGGTGTGCAGTGAAGGCACATACTACATCACCACATACTAGGAAATAAAGGGGTTCCCATTCTAGCAGAGCATATCAGCCATGATAATGACTCCCTATTATTTATGGAGTGTGCATGTTTTGTCAAGCACTGATTTTGGGGTTTGTTTTACATATTTTATTGTTTATTCTGTTTATTCCCCCTCATGTTAAATAGCCAGACAAGACTTTATTTTTTTTTTATTTTTTAGCTTGCAAACTGAGGTCCAGAAAGATCAGGCAGTTTGACAAAGTTCAAATGATTATTGAAATAAAAGGGACCAAATTCAAACTTACTTCTGGGAGGCTCAAGTACATGCAATGCATAAACTATATTTTCTGATGCCTACAAAAAACTTTAAATGTTTTCTTACTTTAACTATTAGTAATTTAAAGCTTACCTATAAAACTGCATTTTCCTTCTGGAGGCTATTTCAGTACTATGGGAATTATCTACAAGCATCTACATTAATTCAGACTTTATTCAAATTTACAAAAAATGGTCATGATTTAAGCTTAAGAAACAGCTATATGTGTGCAATATCAAATGACCAGATGAAAGACAAAAGTTACTGAAATACTATGAGTGTAATTTCTAGGAATTTGTAACTTCTCTACTAGAATTGGACAGCCTTATTTGATATGATTAAAAGTGACAATTTGGACAGGTGCAGATGCTCTTTTCAATGAATCCTGTGGTTGACAATCCTAACATCAACTAATCCAGAACCTGCTTTAAGACATCTACTCAGTGTTACTGAACACAAATATCATATCTATTCTTGTAGATATTGCATCCTTTTTATAAGTTGTTATTCCAAACACACCAGCCTTTCATCCAGGGCAGAACCAACTGTAATCCCCACAGACCTCATTTCTGCATTTCTGTTTTTCCAACCTGTTTTCCATGGATTGATTCATCCGTTGTTTATCACACTTTCCAGTTCTGCAGCCAAGATGACATCACCCTGCTTTGTGAACATGATGAGCAAGCCCTCTTGGAGCAAATCACCATCATTGCCCTAAGTACACTTCTGATTTCTATATAAATATGATAGAAGTACAAGCTTTCTATCAATTGATACATTGCTATTCTACTTACAAGTTTTAGCTTTTAAAAATATTTGTGTTCAGAGTTTTTTATGTTTTCCTTAGTTCATAATGATGCTAATGCATTTGAATTTACTGCATCTTCTATCTTCCCATTCAATTATAATATCTTCTTAATTTGTTATTTTTCTTATCTGATTTTCTCATCCTTTTGTAAAGTAACGATATTGGTGTCACCAACTTAATGATTCTCAGATCCTTATGATAAAAATAAATTCTTTAATTATATAATATGGATGTTCAAGTTTCAAAGTCTAGAGGGAAAATGCATAAATATTCCACTACCCTACCAAAACTCAAAATTACTTGAAATATTTGATTTTGATTTAAGAATCTATTGCCAATTTGGTTCAGATCAGTCTTACATGCTATTAATAAAAAAAGGTCATATGAAGCATTTTGAAGAGCACCATATTTGGTGCTTTAATTTCAAACTATAATTTTTGAAGTTCATCTTGATTTGGATATCATAAGGGCCATTATTTACAAGTTGATGGAAATTAAAGTGTTGTATTGTCTTATAGTATAATATTACCCTAAAGTTTTATGCCAATGGCTTAGCATTTATTTCCTTTACAATATCACAATAAATGTAACTATTGCACCTAATTTCCTATTTTGAAAAAAATGGCACTGAACGTCAGTTATATTGCAAGCTGTTAATAGAAAAGGAAATGCTGAGAATCATATCACACTTTGTAATATGAGTGGTATGAGTCTGTGTGATTTATTATAATATTTAGAATAAAAAGAAGTTCAAATTTGCATCAAAATGAATCCTTTCACTTATTTCTCATTTTTAGTAGAAATAAAAATTTATTTAATTTTTTCACACTTTATACCAGTTTTTTAAAGTTCAAATTTAATGATAAGTAAATGTTGACATGCTTTTCACCATTGTATTTTGGCATGATAAAAGTATATATTCGGTTGCATATGAAAATAATCTATGAAAAATTCCAAAGCATATTTTCCTGCACCTCTTTAATGTCAAACTATAATATCCATAACAGCACAAACTTATAATATATAAATCTGAGTAATTCATTTATATCAAATATATGTACAAATTTTAAATGAGGTTTAAAGAGCCTTCTTGGCAAGAATTTTAAAATATCAAACCCAAATGATTCATAGAATCTTTCACAGTCCCGCTCATTAATGTAACATAAGTTTTTTTACATGTCTATATAACCATCAGATTCTCCAGATGATAAATTTTATCTCTCTATATCATCAGGAACGTCACTCATCCATGCTTTATTCTTACTTTGCGGGAATAAAATAATTAAATGAATGAAACAACATTGGAGGGCCTGATTCTCTTTCTCAGGTTAGGCAATAAAACACTTTGAGAATTTGCCCTGGATATAATGGAACCTTATGAGGAACATTGCAGTCATGAGGTGGCACTGGCTTGTACTAGCATCTGAGGTCTATTTATGTGCATCTCTTCCAAAATTTTTCTTTAAGGACAATGTACTCCAAGGACATCGGAAAACTACAAACTCAGGCTCACCACGCTGCAGAAAGCCAGACCACAAAACGCATTTTGCTCAAATGAACATTAGCACTTTGGGGATTTTTTTATGGTAACAAGTCCTAATTGTTGGAGTGCACTGCAGAACCAAACATGCATGCTAATCTTTTAAATCGAGGTCCCAGCTCATTAAGGTAATCAAAATTTTCATCCTGGTCGGTGTCGGCTGACCCTAAGGAGCTCAGGGAGCCGGCCAAGGACCCCAAGCCCTCGAAGGCGTAGGTCTGAAGGGAGTCAAAGGGTGGGGCGCAGGGGTCCGAGTCCGCCTCCTCCAGCTTCTCCAGGATGAATTTCCTGAAGAGGGCGCTGTCGGGGCCCACCTGCAGAGACTGCCTGTAGAGGCTCCGGATCTCCGCGGAGGTGGTCTTCCGAGCCCTGCGTTCCCGCATCACCGTGGTGCTTCTGAGCTCGGCAATGTCGAAGGCCTCTGTGTCTTCTTCTCCACCTCCTTCATCATCATAGCAGAAGATATTCTCTCCGAAGACGTCCCCTTTCTCAGGAAAGAGGATCTGCTTTCTTTGTTGTCTTAGAGCCAACATCAAAAATACAAACCCTGATGAAGAAAATGTATCAGAATATGAATGAACACATACAGAGCATAATAAACTTCACAATCCTTGAGCTTGTTACAAGCTCCAGACACAACCTTGATTTTGAAGATAACGTGACAGAAAATATTTTAAAACTGGACTTGCAAAATGACATAAGGAAGAAGATAACATTCTGGCTGATGACTTAGAGGTGGAAAACACTGTGAAAATACATTGAACTGTTTTCTGTGAACAATTTAGAATTCAAATTTTACTGTTCTCAAATATTAAAATGGAACCAAGAAGATTAATGGAGCATTTTTCCAATCTGAATACACTTGGCAAACTTAGTGACCAATGAGTCCACTTAAAGTAAGTTCAGACAGGACAGTTTGATATTCCACATTAAGGGGAAATTCTGTGACATGATTATTTTCTAAGTTGGTATTTATTGACCACAAAATATATGCCAGTTTCTTCTAAAAATTATATTTATTGATTGATTTAATTCTTATTAAATTAATATATATGTTATATCCCTTTAAAATGAGAAAAATAAAGCCTAAAAGCATTTAAATCACATCCCCAGAAAGACCCAGCTGGGAGACAGAAAGGTCATCTTCAAATTAAGAAAGTTGTTTCAGAGCCTGGGCCCCATGATACCACATTAATTTCAGAAACTCCAAACTATCTTGCATTTGAATCATAATACTGGTTTGTGCTGATCAATATTTATTACATAAAATAGTTTTAGCAAAATGTAGAAACAGAACAATTTCAGAACACTTTTTAATTAGAAGAAAAACTGTGTGTGCATATGCACGTGCATGCTTGTGTGTGTGTGTGTGTGTGTGTGTGTGCGTGTGCACATCTAAGCTAACCAACCTTTCTGCATCCTTGGATTTACATATCTTTTCAGCACATCAGAGATAGGATTTGAAACACATATCAAGGGATGTTAGAATTTTCACAAAGATAAATATATTGGGTACTATTTTATACAAAAAGAAAACAGTGAGGAGTCTCAGGTTAGTAAAATTAGAAATTAAAGATGAGGCATCATAACTGATATCAGAAAATAAAGGATAATAAAACATACTGTAAACTATCACAGACCAAGTAATTGGAATTAATAGATAAATTCCTAAAATATATAGCTACCAACACTGTGCCAAGGAGAAACTGGAAATCAGGACAGAACAATAAGTAGTAAGCATATTGAATCAATAATCAAAATCTATATTAAAGTCTAGGACCTCATGGTTTCAATGCTGAATTCTACTGAACAACTGAAGAAGTAATTCCAGTACATCTCAAAATCTTCAAAAAATTAGGAGAGGGAATACTTCCAGATTCATTTTATGAGGCTAATAACACTTTTTGATACTGAAACCAGACAAATATACTGCAAGAGAAGAAAACTACAGACCAACATCACTGATGAACATAGATGCAAAAATCCTCTAAAAGGGTTGGGGAAGCAGGGAGGACAGGGAAGGTGGCCATAACCACTGTTACTTCATAAGGTTACTACGAAGATAAAATTTTGTAACACATGCAGAACACGAGGACTATGTTCTGGACAACAGAAGTGCCCAATTGTTCTAAAGTATTTTTATATCTTATATTTGTGCAATGCATATGTCAAAACATTTATAAACTGGCATACGTACACATACTCTTAAAATTGAAGGGTCAGTGATCTTCAGTTTGAAATGTGGATTTACCCACTCTATTTTTCATTCACTCTATTTGGTTTTAAAATTATAATTCATTTAGAATAGCAATTAAACCATACTGCTGTAATATAATTATATATTTATCATGTTACTTTAATAAGTGGAGATATGTTCAGTTTAGCACTACTTACCACATATTACCATAATGAAGATCAGAATAGCAATTATTACTTCCACCCTGAGTCCCAAGAAAAGCACGAGTTTCTTATCACTGCAGGTCTGTGTATTCCCACTGTCGTCACAGTCACAGACATGTATGGTAAGTGTGTTTGTACTTGTAAGTGATGGGATCCCGTTGTCCGCAATTAAAACGGTTATGAAGAAGTTGGGCTCTTCTTGAAGGCTAAAACCACTTCTATTAGTCAAAATTGTAGCTGTGTTATCTAAAACAAGATACCAAAAATTATCAACAACATAAAATAAATCAATCCATCTTGTGTATTAGAGCCACTACTATAGAGATATGATTAAATAAGTTCAAATAAAAGAGAAAATTTTTGATTAAAAGACAACTTGATTCAAGTGGGTTATGAACTCCCATTTTTACCCCGTATACAGATTGCAGAATCACATCAGTTACACATCCATTGATTTACATATAGCACTTGAATCAAAGTGTGAAATATGATATATCAAGAACTATGTAATGTTTTGAACAACCAACAATAAAAATTAAAAAAAGGACAACTTGAAGGTTCCCTGAAAATTAATTAATGCTTTAACATTACCTAATTGTGAAATGAGATGAATTATTTAAATCAGTTCCAAAACGTTTGTGAGAAATATAGAAAATAAAAGCAGAGCAGAGCAAACATTTCTATAATCACATATGAGCATTTATAGGGGTTACTGGCATTAATTTTATGCAGATGCTACCAGTTTTATTTGGATCAATTGCACTAATACTGCTTTTTCTAACATCTAGAGCCCATTATTTTCATACATCCTAGAAATACATAGATTTTCTATTATATAACTATTAAAGCATGTGATCAAATAGTAGGTTTTCTAATTAGAAAAAGGAACTGATTTTACTTTTAGGGAAAGATAATAGTAGGATATCTCATTTTGACTTCACTCGTTTTATTTTTGAAATTCAGAGAATCTTCAATTTTCATCTAGAGAAGACACTCAAAATATTAATGAAAATGGCCAACACATACTCAAAATGTAAAGTTGTTTTTCCCCAAGTCCCAAGATATTCTGAATGATGTTTGTCAATGTGATTCTTTGGGTCTTAGATCTATATTTCCTCTGTTTTTTTTTTTTTTTTTTTTTTTTTATTCAGAATACTTTTGCCATACCTAAGTATGTTCTGAATCCATCAGTCTGCTTTATAAGATGATGATAGTAAAGTGCAAATAAATGAAATCTTCTTGAAATGCATATGTAGTTAAAACTTTTTCCAAATCATCTTTTCAATGCTAAAAAGATAATGCTCTTGAAGTCCATAAAACCCATGAAATTTATGTACGAGGCAGATTTAAGTGGTGAGAAACAGTTCTCATCTTTTCAATTCAATGTGTTTTATTACCTTACTTGGGACTACAAACATTAAACCAAACTTGTGTTCTTTAGGTTTTGCTATATTTATTTTGCCTCAGTAATATATTTTGAATCATTATAAAGATGTATAAGACATATTATATTTGATACTTGTGGGATTTTTTTCTAAATATATTTGAACTACTTTCACTAAGAATTTGATACAAATAAAACAGAGACATGTGTCTGTGCCCTCTCCCACCAAAGGCACCTCTGAATCAGAGACTGGACCCAGTGGTGGGGAGGAACGGCTCAGGTATCTGGTCATAGATATTTGAGTGGCTTATATATTTGAGGTAAAAAGAAAGGTTTAAATAGAAATCTATATTATGGCCAAATAGCTCTTCCTAAAGCAAATTTAATAAGAACAGAATGGCCTTCTATAATTAATCCACTGCTACACAAAAGGAAGAAAAATTCTTTCTCTACCCAAAATCCTTCCAGAATATTTTATCTTTGATTTATAAAATAATTTGGTTTAGAGGGAAAAGAAAAAAAAAAACGACTTTCATACATTTATAACTCCTTATTGATGACTTTAAATATTTATGAATCAAAAAAGCTCACCTCACAGTACACTAAGTGTATTTTCTCTTCAGACAAATACTGAAGATTAAGATACGAATGAACAGCTAGGGTTGTGGCTCAGTGGTAGAGCACTTGCCTAGCATATGCGAGGCCCTGGTTTTGACCCTCAGCACCACATTAAAAGTAAATAAGTGAAATAAAAGTATTGTGTCCAATTACAACTAAAAAAATAAATGTAAAAAGAAAAAAATAACGAAGGAATTGAGAATCCAGGACAGCAATGAAGTTTGCCGGGTCAGACAGAAAAGGGCTTACAGCCCTCTGTGACTTTAAAAAACCACCTCTAATTTGAAAAAAATGCAGTGAGAAGGAAGTGTGACCAGTATTTTCAGAACTTGACACTGAGGTTTTTTTTTTTTTTTTTTTTTTTTTTTACTTTTCTTATTATTACTCTTTTGCTTTATTTCTTGACATTATGATATTAAAAACAGTGTGAAAAACAATGCCTCAAGTTCCATTAAAATAAAAAAAACGATTTATGAAAAATGAGTCAAAATCATTATGACTGAATGGTGTTACCTTGATTATCTCTGATTGTGAAACTTGAGTTGTTTGTGTCTTCTGCAGAGAGAGTGAAATAAAAGTGGTGGTCTTCTATGGATTCATCTCTGTCTACTGCACTGATGGTTTGAATCACCTACGAGAAGACAGGGATAGACTTTTATCATTGCTGTATTGATTCAGGGCAATTATCAATGCTATTATTATTTTCAGCTTTTATTAAGTACTTTAGCCAAATAATTAAAGACACTACAGATGGTAATTGTCAAATCATGGAGAAGATTAAACATTTTCTTAGGCAACAATAATTTGTATGTTGTGATTTCTAAAGAGGGTTATGACTTTTACATAATACATTCTCATAAATGGATCATGTGGATTCCAGAAGCTAAATTTGTTGGAAGTTCTTCAAACATTGTTGCTATATTTTGACATCATCTCTTACCCTCCTTTCCTACATTTTCCCTTTCCTTCTTTCTTTACTTCCTCCTTTATTCTTACTTCTTCTGAAATCCAGTCATTATGACTTGCTGAATTTATACATTTCCTTTTTATACTGAGTGCAAAACGGGTAGAGTTATTGTCTTACTAAAGTATTTGCTAAAGTAATGAGTTTTTTAATTGATTTGAGGGAATAAGGCATTTAAAGCTTAGGGGCAATGTATATGATTTCCTTTGACCCATAAAGATTGTAAGAAAAGCGTTTTAAATCAACAAATTGCATTAGCTTCACAATGTTCTTCATGCATGTAGAGAGAGATCTGTTATTTGAAATATAGCTTCATAAATTTGTATTTGCCATCATGCAACTGAGGATGGTTTTGTCTGACACTTTGTTAAAAGCACTTTAATTATAGAAAAATTAAAACACTAGCTTCTATACTCAATTTACTTCAATTTTCAGAATTAATCACAATCTCACTATGCTATCTTGACAAGCATATCTTTTTTTGACAATAATGAACTACTTGAGTGACACATTCATGTTTTGAAATAAAAGAATTAATTCAGAACTGATGTGTTCATATCTGCATTACTTCACTGTTTTATGATCTGAGATAACAAAGGACAACATTAAAATTTCTTCACTGAGGATATTCATTTTTCCTTTCAAAATAACAGTGAAAAGGACTTTGTGTTCATTTTTCAATAAAATTCTAAGAAAAACCTGTTTGTTACATTGCCCAGAGGTCTAAAGGATTTACTTACGTTGACTAACTTGGGACCCATTTCTGCCCTTCTATATTTATGAGAGAAGCAAAGACAAGTTTAAAAGTTAACAACATACAACAAGCCACCATGATTAAAAAGACTGGAAATAGAGGCAATCGAATAATTCCAAATTACAACAAATGTCAAGATCTCACACTTTTAATTTTCTCCTTTCTCTCTGGGTAGAATTTTGCTCCATTTCTTTCTCATATACTACATTCAATTTCCTATCTATAGTAAGGTGAACTCTATGATGGAAATATATTGGTCCAGCCTAGAGAGTCTTTTAATAGGGATTCATCAATGGATTCAATGCTATTCTATATATTATTTCACCTAATCTTGCCATAACCCTTTTGAATAAATTCTGTTATTGACCCCATTTAACCTTGAGTTTTATGTAAGGAAAGGGCTGGCTCAGAATGACAATGCGATCTCATGCTCAGATGTTTTGAGATAGAGATTTACATGAGGATTCTCAGGCACACGGCTCTTTCCCTGGGTTTGCTGCTGTCCTGCAGGTAGGATATAAAGTTACTGAAAAAAGAAATGGAACAGAGAAGGCCAACCAGGACATTTCTTATGTTAAAGACAGAGACATACAGAGAAATGTATAATATAACATTTATAATATACAGAGTAGATATAGACCAAAAATAATGGTTAAAAAGCAAGAAAATAATCTGAGGTTTCCTGTGAAAGACAGGGAAGTATTTTTAGGCCAGAAGTAGAGCAAGTGAACTAACTCTTGAGTAAAACATGAATTAATGGGGAAAGTGATACCCAGACCAAATGCTAGCCTGTGAAAACCAAGAGGGCAGAGATACAATAGATAGAAGTAAATGAGATTAACGTTTGTGGGTCAAAGATGGTCTAATATTGGCAGTTTCATAAGTTGCCGCTTAATTATTTGATGGAGTAAAAATAGTGTTTGACTCTGAAGATAATCACGGGAAGAAAGATAGTCACTGCACTGTGTATTTTTCCAGAGAAGAGGCATACATAGGACCACTTACTAAAATGTCACTCCTAGCTTCATTATCCTCTTTCGAAAAGCACACATTTTTTGACAACTACACTAAGAAGCTGCTATTGTCTCCAACAATATATTTGAGTCTGTTTCCTTTTCTTGCAGATAGGCTACCAATAAAACCTACTTCTAAAATAAGTCTAGGAGTAAATTGCTAAAGATTATAAAATATAAATTGAATCAATACACAGAAAATGAGTAATAATTTGCATAAATTAATTTTATAAAATGCACTTAGTAAGCAATGTTCCTCAGTACAAAGATGTCAAAGAAAAAGTAGGAAATGCAATAAATAAATGACATAGTTTTTTTTTTATTTCATCTGCCTTTTTGATTATGTATATATTCTAGCGATTTGTACCTTGCAGTAGGCTAAAGATGCAAATTCTTTCCCATTGTCAGAAAAACTCTATTCATAAATTTGAATTAGACCATCACCTTCTGTACTAATTTATTGGGAAAATGATTATAAAATAGACCCACTCTGACAAAAATAATCTATAGAACTCAAAAGAATTAAAAAATATCTGTTCAAAAACTCAAAGTAAAAATTAATACAGTAATAATAGTTGAGCCAACAAGAAAATATGAACAGTAGTGTTTTTGCTCTAGTTTTGCCTGGTTAGCAGTTTACTGGGAAAACATTTTTGAGAAGTTCATGGTAGTATTATATTCTGGTCCTAGACAGAGACAGAGAAATACCCAATTTCCAAAAATGAATCTCACAAAACTGGATTACATACTTTTAATGGCAATTTTCTTATAGAAATAAATCTATGTTTGGTTAAAAATTATATATTATATATTCTTAAAATTTTATCTTAATGTATAATTTCAATTCCCTTTAGGATAATTTCAAACTTTCTAAATTTTATACAAAATTAACATATGAATGAAAACTACTAAAGTACAAAAATATCTGATTAATGTCTTGATATAATCAGTTGATGCCTATTCCACTGGCAAGAACATGCCAAGTGCTTCCAGACCCTGGGCACGTACTGCCTGTCACTATGGTTCACATTTTAGTGGAGGAGAGAGAGAAACAGAACTACAAACCTGCAAAGTGTTGAGGAAGTACTTGAAATACATAAAACACCTAAAGTCCATAATGCTCAAAATAAATAAGATCAGAGGACCTGGGACATATACTGAAATTAGAAAACCTGCTGCAGAGTGAGTCTTGTGTGCATCATGAAATGTTCTAAGATGGCATATTACAGAGTTTAGACTTCATACTGAACATCACAAGTTCTGAATCAGGGAAAAGCATGATCACTCATTTTTATTTGGGGTCCTGTGACCCATGGAAATTAATTAGTTTTTTAAAAACTCTTTCTGAGCACATTTTTAAAGCAGGTATGAAAAAACTGTTGTCATGATACCAGGGACCCACTGATTGTTATTGAATACTTCCTGATAAGAGATCTAAAACGATGCTAACAATCAAAATCATAAGATTTAACTTATTTATAATAAGAAACATACAGAAATTAATGAAGTGTTTACATGAATTGAGAATACTCAACATTACTCCAGATGGAGACAGAGCTTGTGAGTCCCACAGTTTCCCCTTGGGTATGCTGTGCTTCACATGATGTCACCAAAGCAATATTTTTTTCCCCATTTCCAAAGGGACTATGTATTCTTTTGGCCATTGAACAACCACTGAAATATGATTGTCCAGGAACCTGTCTTCATGTGTACAGCCTTGCTTAAAAAATATAATTAAAAATATATAATTAAAATATAACTAAAATATAATTAGCACGCATTGCCATGTACATGGTGTGAGATTAAAAGAAGTAAAGTTTGATATTACAGGATCATCCCTTTTCATAACTATCTAAGAAGGATCCACTTCAGAAGAGATGTTAGGTCCTGGGTAGTGTAGGATATGTGAGAAGAAAACAGAAATTGACATATGAAAGACAGGGAGAAGATGGAATCAGTGGAACTTGGTGATTTATTGCATCTGGAGAATGAACATAAGAGGAAGTAAGGATGATGTCCATATATCTTTCATGCACATCTTGATGAGTGTTAATATTTTTGCTAGGAGTATTGAGAAAAGGAAGAGTTGAAAGCAAACAATATAAGCATAGTAAAGTTTTTTAGTATGTGATTTTGATCATTGATTTTAGCACGAGTTACAACAGTTCATTCTCATATTTATTATGTGTGAAATTTGGCTTATTTCATGGAAATGCAGAAATTTGGTTCAATTTTATCAAAGAGCTTTCTAGAATGCAACTTTTGTGTTATTAATAAAATGATCATTAGTGAAATTAATAATATAATTACATAATGGAAAATTTTAATAAATTCAAAATATTAAGTTTTGCTATCTTTCTAAAAACATTATGTTTTTAGATATTACCTTTTAATTCTTCAGACCTTGTTCTTAATAATAATTTACATATTGTTACAACCATATTTGTAATACTATTTGTGTTGAAATTAATATGTGCAAATGTCTAATTTCATAATTTTTTTTTCTTTTTCCATAAATAAAGCTACTTAAAATAGTTTGGAGGGCTGGAGTTGTGGCTCAACAGTAGAGCTTTCTCCTAGCACGTATGATGCACTGGGTTTGATACTCAGCACCACATAAAAATAAACAAAAAAATAAACGTATTGTGTCCAACTACAACTAAAAAACGTATATTAAAAAAAATAGGCTGGAGGTCCTTCCTTTATTTTGGGAAAGTTTAAATCCTATGATGATATTTGCAACTTATATTTTGGACATATTCATGTTTACAGTTCTCTTGACTAAGATATCCCTTAGGATTTTATATCATACGCTCTAATAATCTTAATGGTCATTGCTTTAATTCTCTCTCCTTTGGTTTTTTTACAGCATTACTTGAATATTTTATTTTGTTTCATTT